CCTTCCCTTTCCCCCCTTATGTTCCCCCCATCCTTCTCTCTCTCCGCCACCCTTCTCTTTCTCCCCCAAATATATCTTTCTCCCTCAACCCTTCCCATTTCCCTCCCCTGTCCAATACCTTTATAAGTGCCTGATTGTTGATGTTTGGCATGATGTTGTGTTTAGATGGTATTTAGTAGCAAGGTATCTAGAGTTGGCCAAAAATAACAAAAACATTTTTCTAATTAAGTTCACGCCAGCAAGAAATAGATATACAGGGTTTCCCACATAGATTGGAGACTCCATATTCTATAACGATGGCTTTAAGTTTTTTTATCTTTAAAATATCCTATAAATGAGATACTGTATGATTTTGCAAAAAGAGGGAAGTTTCCAGTTACATGCATAAAACCTAGAATGAAAATAAAGTATCTGAATTTATTCCTTGCAGTCGTCTTCGAAGTCTCAACTAAACTACAGCGCCTCTCCCTCCCTCTAATATGGCACAAAATTAATTTTTTAAACTTTTTATCTTCAATGTATAAATCTAAAACCTTCCGCCCCCCCGCCCCCATCCCAATTCGTCGGATGATCTGAAAAGTAAGTGAACTAGAGATTAGAAGATGACTATGATCTGAAAAGTAAGTGAACTAGAGATTAGAATTATATATCTATCTATCTATCTAAGCTGTAAAGAATATTATTTGAATTATTAGAGAAAAATTGATTTTTAGAAACCTAAAACTAAAACCCTGTGACATTATTTAAAACTAGCTCATAAACATTCGTTTTTTTAGAGTTTTCAAATGTTTTAAATTTTTTTTATGAGGGCACGCCCCCCTCCCTAATCCTTTAATTTCGTCATTTTTCATAACTCGAGTTTGTTTTTTTGAAGTTTTTGTTTAATAATTTAAAATTTAATATCTAAACCATATATTTTTAGATGTGGACACATTCTTTATCACTGGGAGAAAACCAACTTCAGTTTATCAACTTAGGAAAATATATTTTAACTCATCTATATAATATTCAAGAATAAACATATTAAGTGTTAATTGAGCAAACAAAATATGTTTTAATCCTTTATATGACCAAACAAAATATGTTTGAATCCTTTATATGACCAAACAAAATATGTTTGAATCCTTTATATGAGCAAACAAAATATGTTTGAATCCTTTGTATGAGCAAACAAAATATGTTTGAATCCTTTATATAAGGAAACAAATTATGTTTGAATCCTTTAAATGAGCTAAAAAATTATGTTTGAATCCTTTATATGAGCAAACAAATTATGTTTGAATCCTTTATATGAGCGAACACAATATGTTTGAATCCTTTATATATAACCAAACAAAATATGTTTGAATCCTTTATATGAGAAAACAAATTATGTTTGAATCCTTTATATGACCAAGCAAAATATGTTTGAATCCTTTATATGAGCAAACAAATTATGTTTGAATCCTTTATATGAGCAAAAAATTATGTTTGAATCCTTTATATGAGCCAACAAAATATGTTTGAATCCTTCATATGAGCAAACAAATTATGTTTGAATCCTTTATATGACCGAACAAAATATGTTTGAATCCTTTAAGTAAGGAAACCAATTATGTTTGAATCCTTTAAATGAGGAAACCAATTATGTTTGAATCCTTTAAATGAGGAAAAAAATTATGTTTGAATCCTTTAAATAAGGAAACCAATTATGTTTGAATTATTTTAAAAGAGGAAACCAATTATGTTTGATTCCTTTAAAAGAGAAAACCAATTATGTTTGAATCCTTTAAATAAGGAAATCATTTATGTTTGAATCCTTTAAATAAGGAAACCAATTATGTTTGAATTATTTTAAAAGAGGAAACCAATTATGTTTGATTCCTTTAAACGAGGAAACCAATTATGTTTGAATCCTTTAAATGAGGAAACCAATTATGTTTGAATCCTTTAAATAAGGAAACCAATTATGTTTGAATCCTTTAAATGAGGAAACCAATTATGTTTGGCCCCAATTTAGATAAAGTAATAAGTTATGAGAATTCTTTATACGTGGGAAAACAAATTATGCAAAACCCCTTTAAAGTTTAATTGAAAAATGAGCAAATAAATTATGTTTTAATCAACCCTTTAAATAATTTGTAATAAGACATAAATATAATTATGAATATTAAATATATAATTTTGAAGAGCTGACACACAAATAAAAGATCAAGCAGTCAACAATAATAATACTCAAAAGGTAGGATAAGATGAGGTCAAAGACATAACAGGACAGAACAGGTGCAGGACAGAACAGGTGCAGGACAGAACAGGTGCAGGACAGAACAAGTGCAGGACAGAACAAGTGCAGGACAGAACAGGTGCAGGAGAGAACAGGTGCAGGACAGAACAGGTGCAGGACAGAACAAGTGCAGGACAGAACAGGTGCAGGACAGAACAGGTGCAGGACAGAACAGGTGCAGGACAGAACAGGTGCAGGACAGGACAGGTGCAGGACAGAACAAGTGCAGAACAGAACAGGTGCAGGACAGGACAGGTGCAGTTCAGGACAGGTGCAGGACAGAACAAGTGTAGGACAGAACAGGTGCAGGACAGAACAGTTGCAGGACAGAACAGGTGCACGACAGGACAGGTGCAGGACAGAACAGGTCAGGGTATAATACATAATAAAGAATTGTACTGTGTTAATAGTTTTAGATAATTTTAAAGATGTCTCTGTTTTTTAGATAAAACTAAGAGAGATTACTCCAAACGGGACGAAATCATTGCCTGCTCTAGGTAAGAAAATCCAGAGGTTCGGAATATAAATATATAATAACATAAATACATATATATATTATTTATATGTATGTAATGGTTCGGAATATAAATATATAATAACATATACATACATATATTATTTATATGTATGTAATGGTTCGGAATATAAATATATAATAACATAAATACATANAGCGAATGAAATTTGACTGTAATATTTAGGTAGTGTAGGAAGTGAGGGAGAAGGAAAAGCGAATGAAATTTGACTGTAATATTTAGGTAGTGTAGGAAGTGAGGGAGAAGGAAAAGCGAATGAAATTTGACTGTAATATTTAGGTAGTGTAGGAAGTGAGGGAGAAGGAAAAGCGAATGAAATTTGACTGTAATATTTAGGTAGTGTAGGAAGTGAGGGAGAAGGAAAAGCGAATGAAATTTGACTGTAATATTTAGGTAGTGTAGGAAGTGAGGGAGAAGGAAAAGTTATAAATAAACTCTACAAATTTATGAGACAAAGGTAAAATTTTAAATTAATAAACCGATTGAAAAATTGATTGATAAATTGATTGATAAATTGATTGATTAATTGATAAATTGATTGATAAATTGATTGATAAATTGATTGATAAATTGATTGATAAATTGATTGATAAATTGATAAATTGATTGATTAAAAGATGAATTGATCGATTAATGGATGAATTTATTAATTAATGAAACAAGTTGATCGGTAATCAATTAGATTTAATGATTAATCGATTAATTGAATAAATTGATTTATTAATGAATTGATTGATTAATAAATTGGTAAATTGATTGATTGATCGATTAATTGATCAATTATTAATTTGATTTAGTCATTGGTTAATTAATTAACTAATAAATTAATAATTCGATAAATTGATAATTTGATAAATTAATTATTTGATAACTTGATAAATTGATTAATTGATTGGTTAGATCTGCTCCGTCTGACGGCTGCTGTACACCTGTTCTTTTATCTCAATCCTCGTACAATGATAGATTTATCACAATTCCTGAAATTAGTAAAAGTGAAGGTAAAGGAACTGAGTCCTTGCCACAAACTCGGATCTTTTGATCCATATATCGTTGCAACCTGATGTGGAAGACCTTAAATCTTTCAAACTATAGAATTATTTTAGATTAAATAGTCTAGGTTTGGAATATCAAAGGTGCACACCTTCAGGTTGCAAAGAAAAAGGGATTAGAAAATTTTACTTTCTGGCAAAAACCAAATTTTTTTTTTTTAAATAAAACCATTAATAGGAGTTATAAAAAAACATAAAACGCGGTAAATTCTTCATATGAGACATGGACTATTTTGTATAAAAAGTCTAATATTTAATTCCAAAGATGTAAAACCCTTATATACTTCCTCTGTCGCTTTTATATATCTTTTAAATGAGTTAAACATTTTCAATAATATGTCCCGGTGTGCTTTTTAAAATTAAAAATTACAATTGCGAAATTTCGAGTTAAAAGAAGAAATTAGAAGATAAAAAGTGTTCCACTTGAATATTTTACTGACTAGCACTGAAAATCTAAGCTGATGCTTCGAAAAAAATTCATGCAAACATTTTTATACAAACATTCTGTATATATTAAATATTTAAATCGATTTGTTATTTTTACATTATTGTTTTTATTTATTTTTCAAAATTTCTGTCTTTGAGATTATTGAAAATTGTGAAAGTATATGTATGATGTAAGAACATTGAAATAAGAAAAAGGAATTTATTTGAAATTTAAACTACTTCAGTCTCTTTGATCTTTTTCCGGGTGGCTTAAGATTTTTGTCCAGGGGGGTAATAATTCAAATTTAAAGAACTAGAAGCTGCTTCCTCTGACATGATTTTTTCCGGGGGGGGAGGGAGGGACGTTATATAATGATCCCATAGTTCTTTGTTTTTATTCAGTAATTAACCAGAACAAGGATGAATAGCGAGGAGTAATTGAATTAGGTGAAGACAAGTTGAACCCCTTCTCTTGAGCAGCGCGTCGTTAAAGTTTAAGGGAAGTGGGTCTACAAAGTTAAATCACATCACTTCTTATTCTTAGTCCAAAATTTATTTATTTTTTAAGGATCAACTCCTGCTCGGGACTTGAGGGACTCTATGGAAAGCACAGAAAACTCATCTCAACCTGGAGAAGGTTCAAGTTCAAACCCTGAGCAAGGTTCCAGTTCAAACCCTGAGCAAGGTTCAAGCTCACACCCTGAGCAGAGTTCAAATTCGATGTCCCATGCTGTGTCAACGCCAGCTCATCTAGACCCCCCCTGTTCAATACCAACCCTAGATCAACCCTGTTCCAAACCAACCCTAGATCAACTCTCCTCAGAATACAACCTGGATTCTAACAAAAAGGTGAGTTGTAACCAACATTTATTCACAAAATTACACTTCAAGTTTCAACTGCATCCCCGCCTCTTGTATTTTTGCATAGTTTAAATATAGTTGAAAATCATTTTTGGTATGTATAAACCGTGATAACCAGAAACCCCTGGAAAATGAAAGCGACTTTTAGACTCAAGTTATAACTTTGAAAAGTCTAATGAAATTGTTGAGTGTAAACAGATCTATTTACTTTGTAAGCAAAACTATTTTCTTTGTAAACAGACAAATTTACTTTGTAAACAGACCTGTTTACTTTGTAAACAGACCTATTTCCTTTGTAAACAAAACTATTTACTTTGTAAACAAAAATATTTACTTTGTAAACAGACCAACTTACTTTGTAAACAGACCTATTCACTTTGTAAACAGAGCTATTTTTTTGTAAACCAAACTACTTACTTTGTGAACAGACCTATTTACTTTGTAAACAAAACTATTTGCTTTTTAACACCAAATAAGCTTAAAGATTGTTATAATGCTGTTCTCTTTCAATTCTACATTTTTTCTGGTTCTTATTGTAAATTTTACATCAAATACCTCGATGGGTAATATCAGATTAATTCAAGTAAAAATCATGATTTATAATGATTTTATACTTCTATAAATATATTTATATAATGTATAATATGTGTGTATTGGGGTTACATTTTCTCTAGTAGTAGATAGTAGAAGCAGGGGGGGGGGGGTACTGCATTGGGCAACACTAATATTTAACTATATCTGCAATATGGAACTTCTACTTTTTATCTTACTTTCTAATTTTCCTTTTCAGGTCTTTCTTTTTTTCTTCTTGCTTCACTTTATCTTTCATTTTATTTTATTTTTTCTTCTTGCTTCACCGTATCTTTCTATTTTATCTTCTTTTTTTCTTCTTTCGTCACCTTATTTTTCTATTTTATCTTCTTTTTTCTTCTTGAAATTGACTTTGAAATTTTAAACCGAGCTAGGAACAATCCCTCAGTTCTACCGAGTTCCTCGATCAAAATTTGAGGCAAATCGGTCTAGAAGTTCATGTTATGTTGAGTGGTCCAAGTTATGTTATGACATCCAAGCATAGATTACTACTTTTTATATATATTGACATAGATAACGGAGCTAGCAAGTAGATAAGATACTAGACAATAAATATTAAATACTACTTTATCTATTTTAAATGGTAGATATATATATTACACATACTCCACGGCATGCCAAGGGTACTGAAGATAGGGTTTGTAAATATTTTACTTTGACGTATATGGAGTGCTCAGGAACTGGTTCAATGAAAATAAACAACTCAATATTTGTTATCGCCAGCTGTTTACACAAAACCTATCTTCCCTACCGGTAGTAAACAACACATACCTTAATCTACGATGTAGACAAGTTGTACAGTTGTACACCTGAAAAAATATCGCGCTGCATGCTTTGAAAAAACATTTAAGTAGGCGAAACTTTTTTGTTGGCGTTCAACAATCCCTTTAAATATACTGAAGTAATTTTGAACACTCCCTTTAAATATTTTAGTTTGTTTATGAACATTCCTGAATATCCTGAAATATTGTTGTACTATCCCTTCAGCTATCTTTGTTTGTTGTTGATCAGCTTATTTAAATATCCTGGTTTGTTCTTAAACAGCCCCTTTAAATATCCTGGTTTGTTGTTGAACAGTCCCTTTAAATATATTGATTTGTTGTTGAACAGTCTCTTTAAATATCCTGGTTTGTTGTTGAATAGTCTCTTTAAATATCCTGGTTTGTTGTTGAACAGTCCCTTTAAATATCCTGGTTTGTTGTTGAACAGTCCCTTTAAATATTCTGGTTTGTAGTTGAACAGTCTCTTTAAATATCCTGGTTTTTTGTTGAACAGTCTCTTTATCCTGGTTTGTTGTTGAACAGTCCCTTTAATATATTGATTTGTTGTTGAAATGTTGAACAGTGTCTTTAAATATTCTGGTTTGTTGTTGAACAGTCTCTTTAAATATCCTGGTTTTTTGTTGAACAGTCTCTTTATCCTGGTTTGTTGTTAAACAGTCCCTTTAAATATCCTGGTTTGTTGTTAAACAGTCCCTTTAAATCAGGTTGACCTAGTCCCCTGCCCGCTGGTCAGCATGGATTCAGAGTTTGATATTGTGCCTGGAGAAAGGAACAGTCAATTCTTTAAACATTTTTATCTTTATTTTTTCCCACAGTGATCTCTAAAATACTCTGGAATTCAAAGACGGCTTTTAGACCTAAAATTTTTTTGAATAATACATATTGCTATTCCGTTGCTTTCAGATTCATATATAATATGGTTTTAATTGTGTTTATGTGTCGAGTTATTGTACCTGTAGCAATTTTAAATCTATATATATATGAAGGCTGAATAACAGTAAAATACTTTAAACGGTTTAAATGTCGTCTTTTTATTCAGATTTATTTAGTGACCACTGTAGTCATGGAGCTTTTGCACAATTTTAAAGATATATTTTATTTGCATGATTTTTAAAATCACACTTTAAATTTTAAATTTTACCACGTTTTATTTTTTTTCTGAACTTTTGATTCGCTCATTAGGGTTAAAGAGTATATTAGAAACCTCTAATATTTTGTTCGAAATATTGAAATCATCGAAAACATTTTAAAATTTTAAACGTAATTTTGAACGAAATGTACGTTTTCAATTTTGAAATTTTGATGGTAAGCTGAGTGAATTTTTGAAGATTGAATGAAAATATTGTTATTGCAATTTTTGAGTTGAACTGTGCATAGGAGTCCTATACCAGACTCTAAAGATAATGGGATTAGGGATATGGAACAAGGACCATTACGGGACCCTAATATAGAATCAGGATTTATGAAGGTCCCTGAATTGGGACTGAGAGGGGGCAGAAGAGATTCTACAGCTGCAGAAAAAAGAAATGATTATAAAAATAGTATTCATGAAAACCCTCTCCACTCCCTGGTAATATATCGAGACTTCAAAAAAAAAATATCACTAATTAAAAATGACAATAAAATTATAAAAAGTATTTGCAATGATGGTTTAGAAATTGAGTCTCTTGCCACAAACTCAAATTTTCTAATCCCAATATCTTTGAACCTGACAAAAGTTATAGTTTAAAATATCTAAAGTCTCTGACATTGGGTTGCAAAGATATAGGATTAGAATATCAGAGTTTGTGGCGAAGACTAAATTCCTTCCCGAGTTTTATAACTTTACCTATTTTAAAGATTTCCATATATTTTATCGCTCTGTAATAAGGAGGTTATCTGAAAAAGTATTAAAGTTGGACATATGGCTCTCTAGCCACGACTCTCGGCCCCTAGCCTATCCGCAGCGCTTGGATTGGAATCGTTAATGCTTTTTTTAAATCTCTTATCGTTAAAAAAAAGTATTAAAAGAAACCTTAGATTTAAGCTTGCAGTTGTGAAAAGTATTGTATTTTGAGTATTTTAAAATTTTAAAAATAATAATTTCTTAAGTTTTCAAGTGATCACTTTTAAGTAAAGTTTTAAAGTTAAATATTTTAGTTTCATCAGTTGAGAAAACAATCAGATCTGGTGATGATCAAGGGACAATGCTCATTAATCATACTTTATACATTTTTATATGTTTATTTTTTTTAATATTTTTGCTTTTGACAGCATGTTCAAAGGAACTGAGTTTTAGTCACAAACTCTGATTTTCGAATCACTATATCTGTACAACCCAATGTTGTATACCCTTGATATTTCAAACTATGAATTCTGTTAGATTTAGATCAAAGTGTCTAAGTTTGAAATATGAAATGTTTACACCATCAGGTTGCAAAGATATAGGCATTAGAAAGTTTGACTGTGTGGTAAAAACTCAGTTCCTTTAATTAAAAATCAATCAAACTAAAAGATTGATAATCTCGTAGATAAACTTTTCAGCAATTAAAGATAATCCATCTTTTTCTAATTTATTTCCTTAAAAATTAAACTTTAACTAAAATGAAAGTTTATTAAAAATTGTAATTACGTACTATAATTTTAAACACTTTTCTAAAACTCAATTCTTTTAATTCTCATGGAGAACCAGAAAACATTAAGATTCGTGTATTTTTCTTTTTTTTCTTTGGATAATAAAATGTTGCTCAAGATTTTGTAATTTCAAACGGAACTATTTCAAGAAATGTGCTAAAGATGGCATTGGTTCCTTATTTTTCTGGTTCTTACTTTACAATTCAAATGTTAAATTAAGAGTCTGTACACTAAACTGTACATTAAACTTTATGTACATTGTACAATTTTACAATGTAAATTGTACAATTGCACAATGTACATTAAACGGTATGTACAATTACTATTTTAAATATTGAATTGTGAGCCTGTAAACTGTACAGAGTGTACAAGAAGACGCTTCTCATCATCATTACTTCACTAAACCTCCCCTCCACCCGCTTAGGTATATATTTTCTTTAAATGTTCCTCCTTTTTTTTAATTCAATTAANTAGGAATGATTACGAGTGATCAGGTCTTTTGTTCTGAATCGGGAAAATTATTGATTTGTATTGTGAGCAGAAAGTATCCAAAAAGGGGAATAATTTGTCCCAGCTGGAGAGGGGGGGGTGTTCTTCAAATTACATACCTTGGTCTGAAGATTTTATCAATTAGAATCTGATTCGGAACATTTTTGTATATGAGGTTGGGTGGTGGAGGGTGGGGAGGGTGGTGGTGAGGTAGAGAGGCCCCCTGGGATCCTTTGATTATTGAACGAAAAACGGATTTTCACATAGAACACACAAAAAATCATAGTGACAAATACTTCCAAACCTACATTAAAAGTGTATCTCTGAAATTCTAAATTAGAAAAGAAAAATGTGAAATATATAATTTTTTCAGTTTATTTTTCCTGGATCCTAGCATAGAATCTGAATACAGGTAAAAATAAATTGTACAATAAAAAAACATCTTCAGCGCAATGTCTCTTAACCTTGATAAGGGAACACCAAAGAAATTAAATTATCTATCTATTTATCTATCTATCTATCTATCTATCTATCTATCTATCTATCTAGCTAGCTATTTATCTATCTATCTATCTATCTATCTATCTATCTATCTATCTATACTATCTATCTATCTATCTATCTATCTTTCTATCAATATTATATTATATCATTATTAATATGATATTTTAGAGAATTGCACTTTCTCTCGAGTAAATTATCTTTTGAATTTTAGAACGTGTAAATATTTTTTTCCGTTTAATGTCGGTTTTCTACCGTCCAATTTATTTTTTTTTTAACTATTTTTTCTATATTTAATGTAGGATTTCTACCTTCCAATTTACAATTTTTTTTTAAACTATTTTTTACTATGCTTTAATATTACCGTCGAATTTACTAGTTTTTTATTTTTATTTTTAAACTATTTTTTCTTTTTAAAGTCTGTTTTCTATAGTCCAATTTACTGGTTTTTTAGATTTTAAACTATTTTTTTAGAAAAACTGGATGGAAATCCAAACATAATATATCAGAACATGAAGAAACCACATTAGGCAAATACTATTTATTTTTATTTTAGTTTCAACAAATTTTTTAAATTAGATAATATTAGATGATATTAGACGATATTAGATAATATTATCATATTTATGTTTTTCTAAATCTGCATTTTCGAGTGCATCATCCATCGTGTTCGATTAATAACTTAATTTTAACAAAAAAATTGCAAAATACATTTCTCATTTTCTGAAAAATACTATTAATATTTCTCATTTTCTGAAAAATACTATTAATATTTCTCATTTTCTGAAAATTACTATGAATATTTCTCATTTTCTGAAGGTTGTGTATTGTCCTCTACATTAAACAATGACTTTAAAATTTAAACCAAATAATATGTCCAAGAAAAAGGTTAAAGTTGCAAGGAATTAAGAAAGTCAAATGCCCTTACCAATTTTAAAAGTGTAAATTTCAGAAATTTGGATATTAACTGTTGTTGTAATCTCTGTTTGTCTGTTTTGTATATACGTACAAACAGACAAACAGAGATTACTACTTTATAAAGATACAAATATTTGTATCGCCGGAATTAGTCCTCTAAAATAGTTTTGTACGACCTCTGAAGGACAAAAGCTTAATAGTATATTGGCCTAGCAACCTCTTCCTTTAACGCCTACTTTGATATTCTCGTATCTGGTCTAGTCTTCTTGGTCACATGCATAGCATGCTTTGTACAGTACAAGGTAAAATATGTATTTTTTTAATTATTAATTTTCTCAGAAATAAAATGTTGACTCTATCTAAAAATTTGTATTGGATAATTATTGCAACTAAATGAAAGGGGCTGTATAAGCGTAATTTCAAGTGACCCTTCATGCAAAGATGATAATGTCCGATTTACAACGGTACCCCTGATTGCTTTGTCTGATTAATAAATTACTGATAAAAGAACTGAGGTCTTGCCACAAATTCTAATATTCAAATCCCTACATCTTTGCATCCTGGTGGTGTAAACTTTTGATATTTCAAACTTAGAATATTTTATTTTACATAATTCATAATTTAAAATAGCTCAAGGTCCTCATCATTGGGTTGTAAAGATATAGGAATTAGAAAATTAGAGTTTGTGGCAAAGACTCAACTCCTTTGTATTTTAGCCTGGTGATATATGGGTTGCCATTTGCTTGGTTGCCGCCGCTTACCATTTATTGGTCGTCGCTGTCTGTATCAAACAGATGGTAGATCCTAGTCAGACAAGATCAAGATTCAGGTCAGCCTTCACTTTCGAACCCGCTTTTAACCATCACAACTTAGTTTATAGTGTTAGTGTTACCCACTGAACTGTGCAGCGCGCGTAGCATTACTGGTACGACCTTGTGACCTCGTACCTCTTAATTTGATTTTAAGCACAAGTATGATGAACGCAAATTTATTCGTTTACCTATTATGAAAATTTGATTGTTCTTCTCAATTGCTTAATAAATTTAAATATTTCAGTTTAAGGTTTTTACTACTCTTTATTAAAATAAATCAGCAAAAATCTAATTTTCATTTAAAAACTAATTCTTTAAAACCGAAGACCAATTCTAATTTCATTTCAAATTCTATAAAAAATATTTGTCTTTTAAAAAATATGAATTTCTTAAAGGTGTATTTCTTGTTCTAATTTTGATATTGTTTGTTTAGAAATATGTACAGTTGGTGTAGAAGCTGGTATCCTTCACAGGTTAGAGTTTAGACAAAACTGTTCAATAAGAAAAATTAAAAAACATTGTTTTTAAACTTTTTGTTCGTTTTCGCGCAAACATTTCCCGCAATCTCAAAAGTCGTACTTTTCCCTTTCAACTTTTGGAAACTAAAGACGACTTATAAATCGTCTCTTGATTCCCGTGTTTTTTGGCACACCCCGTATAATCTCTATTTTAATTACCAATTAGGCCCTTTTCTCCTGTTTATATCTCAGCTATACACCATGCAACCTACCCGACCCCTTATTGGTATTTCTTGGAAGATTTGTTTGAAACATCCTTTGTTCTAAACTTCTAAAGAAACTTTTCTTTAATTAAGATAAAAATCTATTTTTAAGGTTTTTGGAGCTTTCTTAGTTTCTCTGCCCGTAGTTTCAGTAATAGGAAACCTTACCTGTCAGAACCTAGATATCTACACAGATACCTCAAGGTGACAATTTAATCTAGGATTTGTAAAAACGTAGTTAAACTTGATGCGGTTAGTTTAAATACTTTCATAAAGATCTACTGAATACTTTAATATTGCCTTTGACCAAGGGAATTGAGTTTTTGCCACAAGGTCACACTTTCGTATCCCTAAATCTTTGCAACCTGATGGAGAAAACCATTAGTATTTCAAACTAAAATTATTTTTACTTAAAGAAATCATAATTTGAAATATCTAAGGTCTAGGACATTGGGTTTCAAAGATATAGTGATTAGAAAATTAGCAAAGACTCAATTTCTTTATTAAATAGAGATTAGAAGTTAAACTGTGTATGGTACTTTCCCAAGGCATTTTCCCAAGGCGACTTCCCAAGTGACAACTTCCCAAATGTTCAATTTCCCAAGCGGCAAATTTAAAAGGAATTTGCACATTTTCAGTTTTTCTTTAATACACATTTAGGTTTTAAAATTTTGCAAAGGTTTTTACACATTTGAATTCGGTGGGTCAAGGGCTTTTTAAAAGTTTATGATTTGTTGCAATTTGTGCAACTTTTTTGGTACAGTTTTTGCAATAAATATTTGGATTTTTGAAATTTGCCATTTTTTTTTTGCAGATTATTGAAATAGAGCCTAAAGCTTTTCAAAAAACTATCAAATGTTTTAGATTTGTATCACAATAAGAAAATAGAGGAGGGGTCAATTTGACCCCCCCCCCCAGGGAGCCAGTCGGTAAACCAGACGTCAGGCTAAATAGGGTTAATAAAGCATTTAAGAAGTGAGCGCGTTTGTTGTGTTAGGAATCATGTAAAATACATTAAACAACTTAAACATCTTGTTTTTCTTTGTTTTTTTTTATTTGTAAAATATTGAGAGTTTTCTTTTAGTTCGTGGAGTTCATTTCATCTAACCTCCCTTGTTTCTTTTATCTATCTAATTTAATGGAGCAATTTACACTACAGAGGAAATTTGAAATTAATCTTGTTTATTTTTAGAAATTATTTTTTGAACCTGTTGACTGTGAGTATAGTTCATTTCTGCAACTTTAATCAGGTTCTTAAGATTTAATATTATTTATTGATTGGATTCACGGAATTTTATATTTGTGTTTTTTAACAAAAGGTAAACTTTTAAAGATGATATCAGGGCGAACAGAGTTTATAAAAGTTGGTGCGAGTACAGGTTTCTTTATATTTGATCCTTTAAATATGAAATCAATCATTTCAAGGCAGTTGTCCACTTTTTCAACCTTTGGACCAATCATTGAAAACTAATAGAGATAGAAATTTAAATTTACATATTTTAAAATTCCAGTTTTTATTATATTTGTAAAAACTTTAAAAAGAAAAATGTGTAGAAAATATGAAAAAAAAAAAACATATTTGTTGTCTATTTCTTGTTTCCATTTTGAACATAAACTCTTACAAATTTAACGAGATTTCTAAAAATAATGTTCAACATTATTGTCTGAATGAAAATATAGAATCTACAGTTTTTCTTTTGTTTTATCTTAATTTGTGATTGTGCTGTGTTTAAAACCAAATATTGTTTAGTTGTATTGTTACGTGAAGAGCATCCTAGCCAGTATATTTACTGGTTGTATCCTTGTATTCCTAGCAGCTCCTGGTTGCCCTTGTCCTGCTACAGCATTCAATACTACAGGATCAGGTATATTTACTGGTTGTATCCTTTTATTCCTAGCAGCTCCTAGCTACAGCATTCAATACTACAGGATCAGGTATATTTACTGGTTGTATTTTTGTATTCCTAGCAGCTACAGCATATTCCATAGTGCTATTTTTGTTAGTCATAAATGTATGCATATCCAATATGAGTACTTCCATGCGTTCACTCAAAATTCCATTTTACTGCAGTTTTACATTTTGCTGGTATATTTACTGGTTGTTGTGGTTGGTTCTGCAAAAAGCTGTTCAATGCATGATTTAAATATTATTTATTTGTACCCAATTACGTTTTAAGTCTTCGTTTTATTCTCGTTAGAACTGCCACACAAGCATTTAACCTAAAATTTGCATATTTAGTATCTAATGTTATTTTGTTTATGGCATCAAATATGAAATGTTTATTTAAAATTCTTCAGGATTGGAGTCAGGATGTAAACAAGTGTATGATACATTCCTTGGAGAGCTTGCTCTTAACATCACTCTGCTACTAGTTCTCCTCTGGCTGCTTTGCAGGTAAAAAAAATACTTTTTTGAATTCTATATTTTATCATTAAGTAAGTTTTTGATTGAATTAACATCAATTTCATCTGGAACATTAAATGTCTCTTCATAATTTTTAGATTGCCCAACAAAGAGTGGGGCAAGGTATTTTGTGAAGTCACGCTGATTAAATGTTTCACCTTCATTCTTCAGAAACTGGAAAAACTTGTGACGGGAAATGTGAGTTTTGGTTCCTAAACCTTGATTCTTTTTCATAGTATTGAAAGCGTCTTCAAGCATGAGCAAATCTTTTCCCTGATATAGCCGGTGGTTCATGAACACTTTAAATAATGTATCCACATGGACATCAGTATTGATGGTCCCAGTTGATACAAAGCTTGAGTATTTTATCTCATTTATCATATCGTCTTGCTCTTTCTCAGTAGGATAAAACCCTAATGCTCTGCACACAAGAACAATACTTTCTGTAGGAATGGTCTTTAATAAACATTTGGATCCATCCATAATTTGAACCAGGGAAAAATAATCTTTCATATCATTGTATAACTTAAGATTGCTTGATACTAGAAGTTTAAAGTTGTCCTGGTATTCACTCATGTTCTCCTCCATTACATTTGCATCAATACTATGCTGAGTAACATGTTCTTCTGACTTAGTTAGCGTAAAGCAATATTTTCCATCATGGCTTACTACAAACTCATCAAGGGGCTCAGAGGAAACCAGTTGTGTCTTGTAACTAGTGGAGTACCCTTGAAGTGGAATATTAGCTAATCCTAAGAACTTTCCACATTGAAGAACAAAATTCTGATTTGAATCTGGTGTTCTTCCGTTTATATGCGTTGAAATATGCACTATTTTATTGATATGATCTTCAAGCTGAGGTGACAGAAGAACCCTTCTGCATAGTTTTGTTGTCATATTTATGAATCGTATTTTATGAGCATCATTAGCTATGACTAAAAACTGTTCATCCGCAGTTGACTCAGGCAGAATACTCATGCATGTGGGTAAGTAACTTTGCTCTATTGAAACTCTAGCTTTGAGCTTAAGTCCTTCCTGAAATGAGCTTTCTTTTAAATCAAATTCATTAAGTTTCATGTCTTTCCCGATGGTATACAAATTACAGTTTCCGTTTTCAGAATTCAGCCCAAACTTTATCTCTGAAATCTGTTTTGTATGACATCGATGTCTGCCAAGTAATTTGTATTCCCCATCCACATTTTGGTAGATAGTGACACACCTGTCTAGATCAGATGAGCCTAAATACTCATCAGTAGAACTAAATAACAGTTGCTTGATAGAACCTTTGCAGTGGGAAAATGGTTTGACTGTTATTGGATCAAATGTTTGGAAGTTTAAGAGCCAAATATTTCCTTTCTTTGTTCCTATTGAAATCAGATTTCCATCATTAGAAAATTTTAATGTAGTGATTTCCTCCGGAATTTTCAGTTGAGTAAGCCCTATCCTTTCATTGGTTAGATAATTGAAAGTTGCCAAGACTCCAGTAGACTTGGCGACAATAAAACAGTTATTCTCTGGGTGAATGTCCAAAACACTCCATGGCCCACCTAAAATTAAAAAGCAGTTATAAAAGACAAAGATAATTTTCTGTACAGGGACTGTAAGCATAATTTCAAGTGGGGTTCCCGTTCCCTCTCTATTATACTTGATCAGTTAAAGGTTTAAAGGTTACTGGTTTGAAGCGATCATGGCACTCTATGGTTAGTCACTTGAAATTATGTCTACAGTCCCTTTAATGAAGGTCACTTGCTCACCTGGGCCTTCTATCAAAGGACTAATAGAAGTATTATTTGAATGGAAGTAGTAACATTCACCACCTTCACAAGTCAAAATAAAATCCACCAGGTTCACACCATATTCTTGTCTCTCAAATTGTTCATCCTCAATTCTGAATGAAAATGACAATATTTTGGGTACGGTAAAGGACTGCACCCATTGAAGTTTCTGAAGATCATGACTAATAATTGTTAGTTTTCCTTTACATCCTCCAACCAGTATCAGGGTTTCTGACTCTGCCAGGGCAGATATTCCTTCTTCATCCAGCCTAAGAAGTCTTCCAATCTTCATGGCTTGATCTGTATTTGCACTATTTGGTTTGGATGCAACCCATGTTACCAAGTTGCCTCGATTAGTTCCTCCTAGCACCTCGTTTCTATCCCTGTTTAAAACATATCATTACATTTTTTTTACTGTATGATTTTTACACTTAATGGTTAATTAGCTCTTAAAAAAGTATTCATTACTAATCTTGCCTTATAAACAAAGTTTGTACAAGATGACCAGAAGATTTTCCAAATTCTTTTTCAACAGATCCTGGATTGTGCTGTAAAAGTTCTCCTCTTGTTTCATCAAATGTAAAAAATATACAAGTGGTTTTGCTGGAAACTAGAAATCTACTTTGCTGCAGTGGATGAGTATTAAGACAGGTGTAAACCTTCCCTGATGGTAAAGAAACACAGGACACTGGGCAGTCAGGTTCATTTTTCCAATCCCAGATACACACAGACTGATGTAAAAACACTCCTCCAATACTTATCACATACTGGGAATTTGAAGTGAATTTTATTTGATCAACCCCTTGCAATCCTTCTTGTAATCCATTTAATCCATGGGGGTTTAGAATCAGTTGAACCATACATTCTCCTAGTATATTCCAAACAATGATTGAATGGGAAAGTTCTCCCTTACTCCCGGATACACAAAGATTTCCACATAAACTCTGGGATATACAGCTAATGTTTCCTTGATGATTCTCGAGTACCTTTTGCTGTTTCTGTCTTGTGTCATATATTACAAGATATATACCAGAGGAAAAAATAATCTCAGACCTTTTCTCAGAGAAAAAGTTAAGAACTGGAACATTTTTGTTGAAACCATACACCCAGGTTGGCTTGAATGGAGAACCAGAGTTGTCTTTCTTAAATTCAGATTGACTATTAATCTAAACATGTTAAATATATGTATATTAGTTAATAAATACTATTTAAACTTTTTTTATTATCAAAATATACCTTTGAGACAATCTCTGGTTTAAAATTAGAAGGGAGTGAAAGTGGAATTTCTTCGTTCTGATTTTTATACTGAACATTTTTGTCATCTTGGGTTTCACCAATATCATAAATTGATATATACTCATCCGCCATAATAAGCCTTAAAAAGACAAATATAAAATTTTCCAAACAAAAAAATTTATTATTAATTTTCATTTAAGGAATAAATAGATGCTTTTAGTCAGAATTTAATTTTACTTTTTTATTGTCAATTTAAATAGATATGTTCATCCAAAAATATACCAACTAAACATTAACCACCATAAACATTTTATAAATAATATTCATAAAAACAATTTCTTACCTAGGATACAATATTCTCTAGTAAGTATTATACTAGAGATCTGGTATTGGATTTGATGGAAAACAATGAATGTTACATCTCCTGCATTGAGAGTATATACAGAGCTGAGAGAGAGAATAATCTAATAGACCCTTCTTTGCACAATGTTTGAAGACAATTGTGAAGGTTGCCAACTAGAAACTTGTTAACAAGAAGTGTACTCACCACTATACCTTGAGAATGTTTAATCAATGAAGAAAATTCTACTCGGGGATTTTCTTTTCTCTCTCTAGACTGCTGATTCATTGCTGCTTTCTCAATCCAATACACAATTATTTTTCAATTATCTGAAAAACCAGCCAATACTCTAGATTGGGTTAAAAGATACATCAAAGTCTTATTTCTTTGAAGTACTATTTGAAAGACCCATTTTCATAGCAGACCCGTTAGTCTTTTTATAAGAAACAATTTTCATTGCATCAAAGGTTTCCGTTTTTCTTTGGAAACCCATAGACCCCCCCCCCCCACCCCTTGCAGATAAATTAAAGAGTCTCCTGATAGAGAAGGGGGTGTCAGATTAATAAGAGAACGAAATATTGACGTTGGCGTGCCGATAGGAGGGCCTTTTTTTAATAATACTTGACTGGTGATAATTTCTTCTCCGACATAAAGATAAAAGAAATCTACTTTGAAAACCAATTAAACCTATCTTTGTAACTGACATATCTTATTTCAACCAAATAACCAACAAGTTCTCAAAGTGGTCAAAAATCCAAATAAATATAGTTTTTTTTTCAGGGAGTTTGAAATAAGTTATCGATTGAGTTTCCACTGCTCACTGCTTGCCGCTAGAGATAAGAAGAAAGTACTCAACTTGAAAAACCAGGTTTTTTGCACTTTTTGCTCCAAAAAAGTTTTTTATCCAACTTTTTAACAAGATTTTAGAAACTTTTTGATTGAATATGATCAATATTTAATATTTAAGTTGTTCGTCGAAGAAAGTTAAAAATTAAAAGTTTTAAAAATATAGCACAAAACTTTTTTTGTTCTCTGCCGCCAGTAAATTTGTAACATTTAGGCCGACTGGTTACTGCACAATATCATACCCAAACACGTGTCAGAGCAGCTGAAGAAATCCGCAAAATATTCTGAGAATCACAAAGATGTCGGGGTCGTCTTCGCAACTCTCGTCAACTTTAACGAGTTGTACGACGAGTCCTATATGGGCGGGAAGGAGTATCTTCGTGTCTTGAACGAACTAATCAGTGATTTTGACGAATTGCTGGATAAACCTGAGTTTAGAAATATTGAAAAGATAAAAACTATTGGAGCAACATTCATGGCGGCATCAGGCCTGAACCCGCATATACGAGGAGAAAACCATCATAAATATCAACATTTACAGGTTTTTATCTCAATATTAACAATAGAAAAGAAAGTAATTAGTTTGTGTCATATTTGTTATGTGTGTAGAAATGGGAACAGACGTGGGAGGGGGGAGGGGTTAAGAAAAAAGTGAGGAAACAGTATTGTTTGCATTATTCTTCATCATTCTTGTATATCATAAAACCCTTCCTCTCCCTTCTAAAAATTTTAAAAGTTGGCAGAATTTTATCTTGCATTTAATATTTTTTAACTTTAGCATAAAATTCCTACAGTTTTGTAATTTTCCAAAATAATTTTTAATTTTTTTACTTTAATTTAATTTAATTTAAAGTTTAAAACCAGAAATCAAACGGTTTTTTATTGGATCGGAGAGATAAAATTCTTTTCTAGCAACTCTGCAGCCTGCAGGGTTAATTAATTAATTAATTAAATTTGGGTGAGTGGGCCGGGAAACATATATTTTTCTCTCCCCCCGCAAGGTTAATGTGAGATTTTAGAGGAAACGTTATTTTTTTTTGGTGCTGGGTTTCAGAAGGGAAAATTTAGGGGGGGTTTCTGCACGTATGTTTTCGTGGGTTTATACCATCTAATCTAATATTGAATATTTAGGAACTGATGGAATTTACATTTAGCCTGCAGAGGGTAGTTGAGGACTTTAATCAATCTCTGATCGAGTTTGATCTAGTGCTTAGAGTTGGTGAGATCAATCAATCAATTAATCTGTATTTTTTACCCTTAGAGATGTAAACTTTTAAAGAGAATTTTGAAAAGGTCCTTTTTCTACTTTTTTTAGTTTTTCTCTGATCTTTCCTCCCTCCCCATCTGATCTTTCCTCCCGCTCCCTCTGATATTTCCCCCTTCCCATTGATCTACAAGAGTTAAAAAGTAAAATTCCTTGTGCACTCTTGGTTAATCCCCCAGGGAATAATAGAGAACTCTAGGATACTTTCATCTTAATCTACACTTTTAACAATTCACCCTCTAACCTTTTACAGAGTGTTAACTCTTTACAAGTGTTAAATCCTTTATATAACAAGCAGACTGGAGATATAATCGATTTCCTATCCAAAAATTGAAGATCATGACCATGGCTTTTGTAAAAGATATATCTTGGTGATTTATAAAGCCAAGGCGAGCAAGAAAATGGTCATTCAAAATTTCGAATAGAATGTTTTTCATATAAAAACTTCCACACTATCTTCTAAAATTTGAACTTAATATATTACGATATTCCTAACGAAATGTGTGTTGTTAAGGATGGATTCTACTGGAGTGGATGGACGGATCCAGGTTAATGAACGAGCTAAAGATGTTCTCAAGCAGTGGTATGAGTTTGAGGAGAGAGGACAGATATTTGTCAAGGGAAAGGATAATATGACAGTTTTTCTTTTTGTTAAGGTTAAGGAGAGTGCTTACAGGCTTTTCTAACTTTACTTATAAATTTTGTTAAGATTAAATTTCAATATTCAATCTTTTTGTTTCTGCTTTTTTTCTTATTTTTATGATGGTGGATGATTACCTCCCGCCCCCATTTAGTCAATAAATAAAAAATTAATGTTTTGGGGGACAGTAAAACCCACTAAAGTCTAATAAAATAAGAAAATTAACCATCAATTTGATCTTACTAAGGGGACGCGCAACCCTCCCCCCCTTTTAGTTACGGCACTGATTCCGGGCCTGGTGTACTGCTCCGCCCCCTGCCCTGGCCCCGGTGTAATGCCCCGCCTCCCCCCTGGCCCGGTGTACTGTAATCTTTGTCTTCATGTCACGTGATAAATGTTAAAACTAAATTAAATGTTTAAACTTGTTACTCCTGCTAAAATATTTCTATTCCCTGCCATATTTTCAATTTCTTTTTCGGATTGATTTTAAAATGTCTAAATCATTACATTAATATTCATTTGTAGCGTTCCTCCCCCGTCAAGCTTTTTTAAAAGCCTTTTTAAAAAATAATATTGCATGGCTTGTGTTAAATGCAAGCGAATAGCTATTTTAATAATTGGCTAAAAATTATGATTAGTTAAACGTTTTTTAATTTTGTTGATCCTGAACTGAAATTGAAAACCTATTGTACATTGAGATTAGGTTGCTTTGACTCTTTTTCATGGAAATTATAGATATTTCGAAAATAGTTTTAAATAATCTAATATTAATAACAAAAATTTACAAATTAATTTTTTACAAAATACTTTATCTTCTGTACTCTGTAACCTGTAAGTTTGCTAAAAGATTTTAAAGTTTTTCATCCAACATTTCCTTGTTTATCTTGTGATTCTTCAAATATTGTTAACGTTTGAGATTTGAACTGAAATGTTTGTTTGTTAAATGTTAAGTAAACATATTTATATATTTGTTAACCTGTAACCTTTTAATAAAATTAAAGTAAGAATAATCTTTGCATTGTTGTAATCCCACAAATTATAAATATGTATTGTACACACTGTTAGAAAATAATATGTTTTTAATATCTGACAGGAAGAATTTCAAAATAACGAATAATTCGTTTGAAATCGCGAACATAGTGGTAGGAATTTTGTTTATTTGGAATTATTATCATTCTGTTCATTATTTCTAATAAAATTATATACCTTGATCGAATGCACATCACACAATGTAACCAATTACAGCGTCTTTTTTTCAAGAGCATTGCAACTAATAGTACTCTTGCTATTGTGTTCCGTAGCTTATCATGGAATGTTGTAATTGTTTACATTTTTTTTACAAAATTAATTACAAAATCCTCACCAATTCGATGTTTTAACTTTATTCTTATTTTTAATAGGAAAAAGAAAATAATTTTACATTAAATCACATTCCGGAGGGTGGGGGGGGGGGGGGGATTGGGGTCAACTTAGTTTTCATATTTGTTCCACATCCTTGCTGTAGGATAAACATATTTTAACTGGAGATGTAACGGAACTTCAGTCTTGAATACTTTATCTCAATCAATATCTAATGTGGACAATTTTAAATTTGAGGATTAAAAATTTATCCCTTGAAATTAAATTAATCAGGTTTTTACTCATTAATAATTAAGTTCTCGACCGCCTCAAATTTTTGGATCCTCCATGTTTTCCTCAAATTAAATAAACTATTTTTAAAAAGGTTAAATTTAAAATTTATTGTGATATGCTTAAAGCTGCTTTCAATAAAAAATTGAAATTCAACTATTCAGTATTGTAAGAGAGTTCTAGGAGACATTTTTTTTGATAATATATTTTCCCACGAAACATGACAGATTGAGAAACTGCTTGATCGTCTTTGATCGAAAGAATAATTTGCCACATTTCTGGAACTAGATTTTCAGGTGTTAAGATAAGAATTGCTTCGTCATCCTTGATCAGAAAAACAGAAATGATGATGCACATGGAAAGTCCCATAAAGTTAGGGCTGTACCCATTGAAAGAAATCAAAAATGCATTGTCTGCGGACCTATTTCACTTATCATTGTATTTTAAAGTAACTGCTAAAGAAACATGAAAGAAACATTTTATGAGTAATTGAACAGTGTCCGACTTTGATCAGCGTCTTAAATCCGCCAAAAATCGGTTTCAATTGAGCGCCGGCTTAAATCTTGAAGCAATAAATACGATTTTAAGTAGAACGAACCATATTTGAGCCGCAGCTCAAATTCTTAAAATTGGGCTTCAGAAAACTTTAATAGATTTAAAATTTTTTGTATTTTTTTCCCATTCGATTTTTCTAGTTTTTTTTCAGTTTTTTTACGTCATAATTGGCAAAGCTTTTTATTTGTGACCTTACTAACCTTTAATCAATGATTTAAAGTTTACAATACTAGGCTTTTAGGGCGCTTCGCGCCCATCTTCTATTTCAACTTTTAATTGTGGCTTTTGCTGTGACTGTGAGCATCTTCTCTTTGTACAGTATAAAACAAAGACAAAAAAAGTTTGCGGGTTTCATAATATTTTTTCGCGCATTTTCAAAATTTTACAAAAAAAAACTTTTAAACACAAATTTTTAAAATTTTGATCATTCTAAACCTTCCCTGGGTCACGTGAGGTCCCACACAAAATATATATAGATTATCAAAACCTTTTGTTCGCGATAACCTTTTGAAGTTTAAGCGGGTGATCTGACATTTTTCTAGTCACAATTATTTGTCTACAACGGAGACCAGGTACCAGCAGTTCTCTTATTATTCATATCTACAAAATATATTCAAATAAACAATTCGATTAGCAGGGAGTTTCAATAAAGATTAAAATAATGGCATGACAAAAATAGTATTTTTGATATGTGTGGGGAAAAGCTCTAAATTTGTCAATTCTAAAACTTTTCAACCTTAAAGTAATGCAAACTTTTATATTTAAAACTTTGATAAATTTCTCTAGCAGAATACATAGTTTGAAATATAAAAGGTCAGAGACATTGGGTTTCAAAGATATAATATTAGAAAATTAGCGCTTTTGACAATCGTAATAATTTTCTTTTCCCAAAAAATGTGACTGGTTAAGTAAAATTATATTTATCCACAAATGATGTGACCTAAGATACCAATATATATATTTTGCAAGTACGTTTTAAAACCATAAAGCATGTGTTTTTTATATTTATTTTTTAAAAGGACTGTAAAGCAAAAATGAAAGGGGGTATAGAATGAAACCTCAGAATCTCAGGCGTTGAACGATACATATAAGACATCTATTTTATTTTTATTTTTCATTTTTAATAGATATAATTTATAAAAGTTAATCTGTTAAAAATGCAAAAAAAAAATTAATTATGATAGGAGCAAACCTGAGATTCTCAGGCTCCTGTAGGATATCGTCGTTTTCAGATTGGTTGCGTATTTGTTCAATATGATCTGTTTAAACCTACTACTTTTATACAAATTTGCAAATATATGGATTTTCGTATAAATTTGACACAGTTTTATATCAATTTCTCGAGACAGAAACATCAGATAGATGTCTTATATGTATCGTTCAACGCCTGATATTCTCAGGTTTCATCCTATACCCCCTTTCATATATCCTTTAAAGTCCGTTTAAGTAATTAACAAAATTCTTTTCGCTTAATTGCGTGCGAGCTTATCATTTATGGATGACTGTGTGTTCAGTTGTATATTTTAAGCATCAAATGTTACTGCTCATTTTATTCTTTTGGTTTAATCACGTATTGACATTTAAATTTAAATAAATACAGGAAATAGATTACGGACCGCCTTACTTTTAAAGTCTTATCCTATAACTGAGAATTAAAATAAAATAATTCCGGAGTTTTAACAATATTTAAAGTTCCATTTTCGAAAGAAAAAAAACACCTCAACCGGAAAAGCATAGGAATTGAATGACTTTTTATTTATATAAACTTTTACAAAAAAATGATTACTCGCCCAAAAATTGTGTGGCGTTTCGTTGATATTGAACGCTTGATCTCGATATCCAATTTGGACTCTTTTAACTTTGAGGATTAATGCTTAGTCCCTCAATCAAAGTCTTTCCTATAATTCTTCTGGATATTTCTGAGGAATTAAATCAATCCGTCTGCCTATGAATGATATACAACACAATAGTTCTTACCTTTGTTCAGTTAACTTTCAGTTTATTTCTAAAAAATTAAACTTTTATCAAAGAAATTTTTGATTTAACCCCCCCCCCGC